CTTAACAACATTAGACGCGGAAGGAAGGTTGGTGGATGGTCTTCCAGAAAGAACCAACGAGGACAATGGATTCAGGTTGCTTTAGGATCATCCACAACCATAACAGGCATTCGTACTCAAGGTCGTCAAGATGCCAACCAGTGGGTCAAGACATACACTGTGGCCTACAGCAACAATGGAAGGCACTTCAGAACGTACAGAGTTCGTAGACGTGTTAAGGTAAATGATAAGAATTAATTTAATTGTCTAGTAGCACTGCATATATTTAGAGTGTAAAGTTCGTCTTCTAAAAGATGCCCTACCAAAATAAGGAATAAATCCCATACCTAGACGGAATTTACCCTTTACGCYTAGTTGAAACATGGTGACTAAATTAATACAATTACAAGAATCGCTAGTTTCGTATGTGTAACATAATTGTTTTAAATTGATCACACTATATATTATAAAATTGCTGTGATAAATAAATGTGGCTTACAGCAACAATGGAAGGCACTTCATACAACATACAAAGCGCATCGACGCGTGAAGGTAAATAAAGTTTTGATGGAATGGACTTAAAGTTTTCATTCAAACTCGACCTGGCATTGTAAAAGGAGAAAGTAGTTATCTCCATTGTATTTTAGACAAATTTTTGACTTTTTGCGAAGGAAGTAACTAACCGAATACTGTACTGTTTTGTCTTCCACCACCGAGTTCCAAAAAAAAAAAATTCTTCAAACATTCCCCAGAATTTCTATTCTGTGAACTAGTTTAGATTGTTCATTTTCAATGATCTGTGTTGTTGATTATTTGCAGGTCTTCTTGGGAAACAGTAATCGAAACACCGTCGTAACTCGCCAACTGAGACCAGCCATTCGAGCTCGTTACATCAGAATCTATCCAAGAACCTGGCAGGGTCATATGTCACTGAGAATGGAGTTACTTGGAAGGAGAAGAAGTAAGTGATATATCGGTTTAACCAGCCGGTAATGCTTCTATAACTAAAGGTCTTTCATTAAAAAAGGTTGGGTCATTTAGAAATAGTTAGAATTTTTTTTCTAAATTACAGAAGGTCCAATAAGACCTCCTAGCCGACTGCGAGCACTTGGAATGCAGAGCGGTCGTATCCGTAACAACCAGATCCGTGCATCCTCAAACTGGGACCACAAACACGGTGCCTTCTTAGCCAGACTAAACAGACGTGCACGAGGAGGATATCAAGGTGGTTGGTCTGCAAGGCACAACAACCGTAAACAGTATATACAGGTAAGACATTTTTTTCAGATGTAAATATGCTATGATTTAAAATTGATGATGGTGTAGCTATTGTTTCACCTGTATGTAATGTCTGCAGAGTTTGAAATTAAAATCATGTTTTCCCTCTTCAGATCACTTTCCGTCGCCCTAAGAAAGTTACGGCCATCGCAACACAAGGTCGCCAGAATGCCGACCAATGGGTCACTCGTTATTACATATCCTTCAGCATGGATAAAATACACTTTACGCCTTACAGGTTAAATGGTCGAACAAAGGTAAAGCAAGAAGTAGTTCGCTACATTTTACTATCAGCAGCGGCAGTTTAGCTCTTCTTTTAACATTTCCACACCATCATAAAACATCTTGCATCATTAACTGTTAGCTCACTATCAGAAGTCAGAATGTGCGGTAATATTACGTGATTATTTCTTAAGTTATGTCAAGAGGGTAAAAGAAGATAGTTTTACCCATCTCCCGCTATAAAACGCTCCAAAATTCCCTTGATTTACAGCAAAGATCTAACTCAAATATTGGCCAAATGAGTGTAACCTTGACTTAAAACAATTGTTTAGCGGTCATTGAAGCGATTTCCAGAAAACTGTTTAACATTGATAAAAATGTGATTCTCGAGAATCACAGAGATATTAAGTCTTATTTATTATATGGCAAGGTAATTTCACGCGCTATGATTGGTCAATT